CTATTCTCTTAATGGACCGAAGTTTTTTTTAAATTGAGCAGTTCACTGACAAAATTATCTGCCCCATTTTCTGAATTTTTTCCCAATTTGTTCTCTCCATTTTCGTTGAACTAATGACACAGCACGACAAGGGTCTTTTGAGACGCCACTGTTTCGCTGGGTTTTTCGTCGTCAAAAGACTTTGTACAGCAAGAAGTTGAGTATGATTTGATGAGTCTTCACCTAAATCGTGAAAGTGTTCGGTAAAATACCGCTGTGTTAAATGGTCAGTGATTTATTGTGAGAATTTTGTCGATGAGTAGGAGTTGTCCTTGCATTTTTAGCCCCTTGTGATTATTTTTCTATGAGATACTACTGAAATGTTTAGAATATTAAGAATTTACGCACAAAAAATCCTGACTACTCCGGGGAGATTCTCCAATAACAGGTCTAAAGAGAGTGGGACAAAGGAAATAAACTTGACAATAAAGGTCAGCCTGTCACTGGCACTGTTTCTTAATCTTAATGCACCGCATATCATGGGGAGTTTATCATGTGGTCGAACATTGAGATGGACTTTTTGAAAATCAAAGTACATTGCTGGTGAGAATGTCAGGAAATAAATGCTGACAAGCAATCGAACTATATGACTTTTATTAACTAATCAGCACTCATTGTCTCCCCCCCATTGCTCTAGTCTAGGGGCAAAGTATACGTAACGATCTCAAAATCACTTGCGCGAAATCGTTGTGAATAGCCTCTTGGTGAACTCAAAAAATAGTCAATCAGAATGTTTCATCCTTTAACTTCTAGCTTTTGCAAAAGTGATTCTCGTCTATTTCGGGAATTAAAGGTACCTCACACTGAATAGTACCCTTTTAGGAGATGGTTAAACTGGGTAATAAACTTGTCTAACCATGATAGCCAACCAGATAGAGTATTTTAGGGATAAGATAGAAAGAGTAAGCATCAAGTCACTTGTCAATAAAATGACGACAAGAAGAAAACTAATTTGCCCCTCAATATGATGGTAGATTCGAAGTTCACTCATGCATTATTTCGTACCTTGAATTCTAATGCAGTGCTTATCCGGTAACTAAGGCTGGCTGCATTGAAGTAATAAACGCGATAGAGCATGTAATAGTGCCATTTCACTAATTTCCTATCTAACTTCATTTTAAACAGTTGGCCAAGCGCAGTGGGAGGCATATGGCGATTTAACACTTGGTTAGTGTTTGTTTACTTAGTCTGTTCTGGTCATTAGTTCGCCAATGGGAACTCAAACCCAAATGGGATAAAACCCGTGGGGGGGTGGGGGTTGGGGGTTGGGGGGAGGGAGTGGCGGAATATCTATTAGCACCGAGTTCTGCACCCCACTGAATCTCCTTTCTCAACTTCGATCACCAATTTCAAAACGGTGGGCTCCATATCGCACCTGCCGTCTCGACCACCTGCCGCGTTGTTGGGACAACAGATCTCTAGAGTCAATGTATATCATTAGATTAATTTTATTAATGAATCGCTTAAATATCAATCACGAGATTAGTTCCTTTGGTTATATTGAATGAAAGTTAATTTGAAATGTGTCCAGTAGGCCAAACTAGAGACCGAATGTGACTTCGTAATCGTAGCCAGCAATTACTTCAAATCCAATAAATTTCACACAGAACAAAATCGTATTCGCTGCCTTGAGAAACGGAGAAGAAATTGGGTCAACGAAATTTCCTTTATGTATCATTCAACTGGAGGATTTCAATGCACCAAATCCATTTTCGTCAATATTTGAATGTCTCCTCCCTCAAAATGATGGGTATTTTTTTAGGCGGAGACTGAAACATTGCTTGAAAACTATTGAGTTTCTTGCATTTGAAATCCACTAATTTTGTCTATTGTCCTCGTCTATTAAAGTATTTTCTGTTGAACATTCCACAACTATTGGTGGGTATTGCATGTCACTGTTCTAGCACAAATTTCCTCGAGAAGAAAACTCACAATTTTATTGGACATTTTAATAATAGCACAGTGTACTCGTAAAATCTATCATGGTGACAGGTATATACACACACCAACATGTTTATCCCTTGTTTAACCAATTACGATGTGCCCTTATTTGAACTAGCAATATAGATTCCTCATTACTTCGTCATCCTTATTATCCTCATAGACCATTGTCTGTTAGTTAATGGCATTTACATATCATTTATTAGGTTAGAGGCAGAGGAGCTTACTTCTGTCAGGTCAAAGGTCACAACTTGCGTCACTCATTCAACTTAATCGCTATCGTGGCTGATTAGAACAGGTCAATTCAAGGATTGTTTGTAAACTTTGCGGTGTTAACCAGCTCACCTGCGTAAGTCTTCTCTTCAAATTCCTTGAGGTTTATCTCCAAGTATTTTTACCAAAAAATTCTTTGCCATTAGCATATGTCAGTAGATAAATACCATTGGAATTATATTAACGTTCTGAAGACCCTTCCAAGTGGTCCATTCTTCCTTCACTTGCTATTCCTATTTAAACTAATTGATTGCAAATTCGATCGATAGTATAGCCACTAAAGATCTCCTCGTACACTTCACAAGAGAGGTGGTCTTGATTCGGAGATTGAATTTGATAGCTAATAACTTGTTGAAGGCCAGACCATTCATGTGATAATATAAATCAACAGAACGCACACACACACACACACACAGACCGACGAAATTTGATAAGCCTTTAATACACACACTCACAAAAAACCACACATGAAATAAAATCCCGTTTTCGGAAAGATTCAGAACAAGTTTGTTGGTAAGATAGAGGCTTGGCCTACTTACCTTTGCACTGAACAGTAGATGTAATTAACCTACTGGTGAGAAAAGTGGCCCTATTGAGATATAGCAAGCAGGTTCTGGTGTTCGTCAATATTTATTTATATCAAACGGCAGGCGTTTTGACAGTTATCATTAGCCCTTTAGTTGACTTAAGGCTTCACAGAGGGGATGGAACATCAAAGTGAAAAAAAGTCGAGTTGGTTGGGGGGGGGGGAACAGAACAGTGTTTCAGAGACGTAAAAGAGACAGACACAAAGGTAGAAAAAAGGTGATGTGAGTACTGTGGTAGTAGTCGAATATGACATAAAGTGAGGTGATGGTAGTTCGTAGTCAGAAGTCAACTGCCAGTCAATAGACATTTTTGCCGTATGAATATACGTTGCCCAGGGTGCACCACGTGAAGGTAAGTCTATCGCACACCCCGTGTTCGTCAATATTACTGTTATCTAAGTAAACAGACTTTGAAATTTACATTTTGATGGCGAGAGCGCCTTGGTTGTAAAATTTTCATTAAGCCCAAACTGTATTTTACGGTAAAGCAAAGTTTATATTGGCAGTTAAAATGAGGGATCATTGCGAAAGTTGGGAGAAATCGGCTATCACGTATAAATTCAACATTAACTAGTTGACCTACAGCTCCGTTGATAAAGGTAATAAATACTTTCAACAGTCGTCGCTTTCCAAACTTTTCATTTCATTCTATCCCATTGGCATTGGGGAAAAATGTAAAGGTAATTGAGGTGTGTATCACTCAAACGTTTTCTTACAAAGTGGTTAGCGTTAAATTGCTAGAAAAGTTGATGTGATTGGCCAGTTTCATGAGAATTCTTCAATGTATACCCAGAATATTGCCCCCCCCCTTCTTGGTTTGGCTTTCCAGGTGAATATATAATGCCATTTCAGGAACAGTCATTGGACTTGCCATTAATAACACAAGCAGAACTGATCAACTTCTTGAGTCGTTCCTGTTTAATAGAAGATAAGTAGCCTTTTAGCGTCCTTCTTACATTGCCAATTATATTTCTCTTAAATTTCAGGTAACCGTTTTATATAGCCTTTAAATCAGCAAAATCTCTAACATTTAAATTATTAAGATTGTCATAATTTCGGTCGGAATAATGATTTTAAGTTGGTCTTCCGAGATTTGCGATACTGGCTATCAACGAATTATTACTAATGAATGAGATATAACTATTCAGAAGGGAGGCTTAAGTCGTTTTGTAATATCTACAAAAATTTTTAAATCAAAAAGGTCATACAGCATCAATATAGCCAATCTTACAAGAACCACTCAGGTAAATTTAAAGTTTAATAACTTCCAACCAAACATAATTTTACAAACATTCCATGAAATATTTAAATACAGCATGTCTTTGTAAAAATTAAATAACTCCTAAATTTTGCATTAAAGTATTTAAGTACGTAATTCGTACTGTATTAATTGGTTGGGAAATTCATATATGCCTCCCTCACGTTTCCATGAATCCTTAATGGGACAATTGTCACCAAATTAACCATTCTTATTTCTTTTACGGGTCCGAAATATCTTAATCCATTCCTCCTCGGGTGCATGGAAAGCACTGTATGAAATCGGGAAAAAATTTAAGTAACGACTTAAAGCCCTACTCTGATAGTCCAGTAAAGTTTGCATAAAATATAGAGCATTATTAATCTTGTTTTCTTGGGAATCACAACAGCCCATTCAATCGTAAAAATTTTAGTAAATTTGCTCCCCATTGGAGCAATCACTACAAACTAGAAATGGACATGAAAGTGTATTTTGAGCAGAAGATAGTGTTTGATAGGGCCATTGGTTTACTTCCACAAATCTTGCCCACTATTGGCTGACGCAAAAACTTCCGAGTGTCAAAACATTGGTTCGCAACGCGTGGGACAGATATACCGCACCAGCGCATGCCCAATAAGTATAACTAACTCGCGCCTTCGCACCATAACACTCACGCAGCACGCAGTGTGCTATCGCTTCCTGTCGCGTCGCCTCCCTTTTACTGGCTGTTTGCCCCCTCCACTGCATTTTATCTCAGTGCGTCCATGCGTGAAGTGGTGCGTTGTGCTATCGAGAAGTAAGTGTGAAGGGGTGACTTGCATACCCACCGCCTCACACACCATTAGCTAGACACGTAAGTCGGAGACACGCGCCTCAACTCTCATTTGCACAACTTATCGTAGAGCGTGCGCGCCTCCTATTTTATGCCGCTATCCTCGTCTCTTCCCAATAGTCGAATGCTGTCCGCCGCCACTGCTACCCCAATCGCTTTGAATCAGCAATACCAAGTCACTTCTAACACCATACCCCAATCGAACGCTATGCTTCCTCAACAGTGGCACAATCATTTTGGAGAAGGGTGTTCTCCAACCAATCAACAATCAACCAGTGGTACTACCTCATCATCTAAGCTTGAAACTTCTTCCCTTTCATCATCGAACCATAGTAGTGGGACCGTATCACCCCATAATCTCATCTCAAACGGAGCTCATCATCAGCGACCGGGTTCTCTCACCTCAAATTCGAACCTGGATCATTTGAATGTTATCAGATCTCTCCAGGAAAGGTCTATGGGTCCTGATCAAATCCACTATGCCACAGCTATAGCTTCTGCACTGGCAGCTATTGCCACTAATGGACTACAGAAACCACCTTCATGTCAAAATAATGGTCTTCATTCTCCTAATGAGTTTTCAAGGGGTCCAAACATGCGTGGGCCCCTGGGACCACCCTTATCACAACCTCCCTCCTCAGCACCGTCTTACTTCCAGATGGATACGGAGTTAAATGCCTTCATGAAGCGTGTGCAAGAAGAAGAGGCGGAAATTAAGAAACACGACTGTCCCAAAGCCGAGCTCGCTGAACCGGAATTGTGGAAAGCCTTTCATAAGATGACTACGGAAATGGTGATTACCAAATCTGGTCGGTAAGTAGACTTTTATTTGTATCTTGTCAGGAAGATAGATGAAAACTTCTTTGGAGAACTATAAACACTAAGTAGTATTGACACTTTCATAAATTCTATCCCCATTATTAATACCTCTAATCGGATTATCACAGTACGAATTTTCAGTGGGGAATTAATCATTAGATAATCTTGTCAATTTCGTGATAGCAGTTAATTACGAAGTACATCCGAGGTCAAATTTAACGGCTTCCATGTTTACGATACGTATCTCGTAGAGTTTATGGGAGGTTGTTAAGAGCTTTTGCGGTTATCAACGGTGATTTGTTGAAGCTAGTTAAAAGGATGGGGAGGGGTTTGAGGCATGAATTGTGGACACCATGCAGAAATAACACACCCTTTGAACGGAAAACAAAGAGACAGAGAGAGAGAGAGGTGTTTGCGTGTGTATGTGTTCTCTCAATTGTTGGTTGAGTGATAATTCGAACTTTGGAGGGTTTACACACATATGGAAAGCAGCAGTGGTGGTGGAGATCTACCACATTTGATTTACTATATATGTATCTCACTCTCGGTGCTGCGACACACATGTGCTGTCATTAATGCAGTGGTCGCACCTTTTCGGCTTCTGTCCGACGGGGGGAGGTAGGTGTATCTCGTCAACTTATTTGACAGAGAGTGGGATGATGTGTCGTGTGTTGAAGCTGTCAAAGTTTGATTTACTACTCACATCACGCTGCCGCAGGTGTTTAAAAGCCGCCGTCCACCCACCACCTGCCAAGTTGGCTGTGTGCAGGTAGACGTCCATTAAGGGCCCTCGTACACGAAGCCCATGAAATACATATAGACGCGATTTAGTAGACTTTTTTTGCTTAATTTGACCTAACTATCTTCGCCAAAGCTTACGTATCTGGGGTGGGGGTGGAAATGTGCACTCAACAGGCTGAACAAAATATGAAAATCTGGTTGGATCTCAGATCCAGGCTCTTCTGCTGAGGTGTAGGTGACAGTGTTTTTTTTCCAGTTGGTAACAGAACACTTTCTCGATAACTCGCTTTCCTCATTTCTCGAATGCGTATATAGCATTCGAAATCAACTAGTCTACTTGTTTTCATGTCCTCTCATTGTTAGTTTCATTCTTCGGCATTCGTGTGGTTCGTCACTGATTATCGAAATATTCCGTTTTATGGATAATACTTATTTATTTGTTGGGGGTCATTCTAATTAAAGAAATAGTTGATATAATAAGGTCCAATGAGAGGGGCACTACAATATTTTTTTTATTATCGGTCCTAGCCTATTTGCAATTAGTGCGCAGTTTAAATTACTATTTGCAGGGCTGGGTGGATGGGGGGTGGGTGGGTGGGGGAACACCATTTAAACTCGACTCAAGGTTTTATAGCCATGTTGTCGATAGTTTTACATTTATGACAACTGTGTAAATAGATAAAAAAATTAGGGTACTGTCATTAATGGTTATTATTTTATTAAGAGGGTGCAATCGATTTGCATAATTGATGCTTAAGTGAGTATTAACTCAAACGGATCTTGTTCCCGATTGGAAATAAGCCTTTATATGTCGAATACAAACGCATTTAGTCAACTAAGATGTCGTTATATGTAGTATCTTCCTCCCTCTTTCATACTTTGAAGTATGTGATGAGTGTGTGAATTGGGTCAATCCAAATGACAACTCTGCATTTTTAGGCGTATGTTTCCAGCCTACAAGATAAATGTAACAGGACTTGACCCGAAATCAAAGTATGTGATGATGATGGACATAGTGCCACGGGACGAGAACCGCTACAAATTTCACAACAATGGGTGGGCTGTGGCTGGAAAGGCGGATCCCGAGCCCACAAAACGACCCTACATCCATCCCGATTCGCCTGCCACTGGGGAACAATGGATGCAGAAGCCCATCTCCTTTCATAAACTCAAGCTCACTAATAATATCGCCGAAAGACAACCATTCGTAAGTACTTTTGCATTGTTTTATAATTTGGCCGCATTCTATTGGTTAGCTATTTCGGTAGGATAAGCATGGTTTTTACGGACTTACGACAACTAACGCGAGATTCATTTGAAAAAGCTAAACTATAACAGGTCTGCGGATTTATAATGTGAAGGATCTGTGTTGGCATTTAATTAATTAAGTTGTTCTAGTTTGACTTAAGGGTGGGGCTTATTTGCTCCGTTACTGGCTAAAACGATATTGACCTTGAATTGCTGTACTATATTATACGGTCTCGAACATAGTACCATGATTTGTTCTCTTATTATTGGTGCTTGAAATAATGCCAACTTGAAAAATCAGGCGAGGATAATTGAGTTGATGATTTCAGAGCGAATTAAATGAGATTGGTTTTAATATTATCATAGCACATTTGATCCAATTTATCTTCAATCTGATTAATTTGCAAGAGGCTTTGAAGGGAATCAGGTCAACTTAGCAAAGGTGGCACTTTTGATGTGGTCGGGAACTTTTTTATTTTTCAACTTCTGCTCCTCTGCTTGAAAATGCATGGGTATCATAGCTCACTTTCATGAATTGACTCGAAATACCTCTTAATGGTTATCCATTTAGTTTTTGTCGGTGATATTTGTCAGAGGACAAATATAGTAGTGATAATTGTCTAAAACTTGGCAATTATTTGACTATGCAATTGATTGAGCTTAATAGTTTAGCTAAGGAGTAAGGAAGAGCAGTTTAGTTGTCTGCTGAAAAATATTTTAGAGAGAGCACTTTAGCGGTGGAGGTGGGGGGGGGGGGCGAGTCTTGACTGAAACATCAAGCCTTACTCCTGGGGTATTGAAGGCAGAAAGAAACCTCACTCAAGTAATTGCATAAAATAGCTTCCAGGTTGGTCGAGACACACTATGGGTGTCAAGACCGTTAAAATGCTGGACTCGAACGCATGTTAATACACGTGTTAATACATGAATTCCAGTATTGACTCGCGTCAAAACTCATTCAGGGCTCTTATGAAAAATTATGACCACTAGGCATCCACTGGCCATTTACTGACGATGTGGGTGTCTCTGTTTGAAACGGATCATTCATGGATTAATTTCGACACCTTCGGAACTCGATAAGCAAATTAAAATTGTGTTTTCCAGAAGGGGCTTGCGCGTTGCCACGCTGTTTTGTATTATCAAGTCTGTTCACGCATTAACTGCTATGCACCGCGCCCCTTTGTGTCACACATACACAAAGCTTTCACATACACACGGGTTATTAATGAATACACTTGTCACTTGCGCGCGGTAGGTGTAAAGGTGTGAAGACATACACATTGTTTTGGCAATTAAGTCGCGAGTGCTGTGTGTATCGCGGCGATGGTGGTACATTTCGCATCTCTCACGCTCGTTCAGGATATAGCAAAAGGTCTTCACAATTTGTGATGACAATCATCAGACTCACGCAAAGCATGATTTGTTTCAACTCCATTCAGTCGATATGAATTTCACAATCACTTATGGCGCGTCTGCATCGCCATCTTTTCACTCCACTTCACACTTTAGATTGATTGGTATCAACTCGAGTACTGTATGCCTCTTACGAACACCTTTCTTTTCTCTTAGCAAGCTGTGCTTAATTCAATGCACAAATACATTCCCCGGGTTCACATTGTACGAGCTGATGATTTCCTGAAGATCAACTTCTGCGAATTCGTCACCTTCTCCTTCGAGGCTTCGGAGTTTATCGCTGTCACCGCCTACCAGAATGAGCAGGTCAGTTCACTATTTCGGCCACTTAAAATTGTATGCTCTTGTTTGACATATGGGCGAGAATACTTACATAAGGCGCCACTCGAACTATGCGGGGGGTCCATCTGTCATTCATCACTTTAGAAGAGCGAAAACTAAACAGGAGAGGGGGGGGTGGGGTGGGGTGCCATCTTAACACCTTTGTTTTCTATAGACTTACGTCAAAGCCCCATTTAAACTTGTTTGCGCATGCTTAGCGGCAATCACCACTTAGGTGGCTCTCAGCTATCGATTTTATAAACACAGTTTGTGAATGTGTTGTCGGCTTAGCACACCTTAAGCTGATTAGAGAGAGCTATGCTGTTCGGGGTGTGTGGCCCCCCATACGCAGCTTAAAGGTGTGACATTGAGATGTAGAATGAATAGCCAAGACCATAGCACTGACTGGCTGCCAATTATCATCATGTGCATTGGCTTTTGACTTCATTGACATCACACTCATAATTGTTAACCTTTGCTGGAAAGAATGCTATTGCTGTTCTGTGGCCGGTGCATACTTATTGATTCGTCCCTCGGTCAATTTACATTAACGGACTGTGCTATTCTCTCTGAAAAGTTGCCTCACTTGTCAATTGAGATCTTACGTGATTGAACTCATTGCTGCCACTTTATTGGCTCTTTTCAGGTTTAATTTAAAGGCGTTAATGGCACGCAAATTACAAAAAAATAGGGGGCTATAAAGGTGATTGGCGCAAAGTCAATCACTGCGGTGTTCTTAATGCTTTCTTGCACCATTAACTCCCTGAAGGGGAGAGTTAACCAGTTAATTTTATTTGTATTGTAAGGAGACAATACTGGTGTTTAATAACAACAGATTATATAAAAATGGCATTTAAATTTATTATTACATTATTGTAGATTACTCAATTGAAGATAGATCACAACCCATTCGCCAAAGGATTCCGGGATAATGGAAGTGGAAGGCGTGAAAAGAAGTAAGTAATTTTAGCACTAAAAATACTCATTTAAATATATATACCCTCTGTTCAAATAGACAAGGGTTAGGAAATGACAGTCCTTACAATTCGGCTTAAACTGCCGAAATCTCGTGAAGGTGCCCGAAACCCTTCATTTGTGAGTGGATTGTAGAGGTACATTTAGCGCAATCAGGACATCAGGATATAATATTTAAGTTAATAAAACATTTTTTTCAGATTGACTAGAATAACTACCCGCCATTTCGCGTTTTCGTTTTTCTAAGAAGTAGAATTGCCATTATCGACCACACCTTTCTGCTTGGTTTTTCAGACGTCAGCGCTTACAACAACTACCTCCATTGAATTCCACCGATTCATTAGATGAGGAGAGAAAATTAAGGGAAGATGGCAGATGCAATAAAGACTCCCTGTTACCACCCCTTCGACGACCACATCCACCACCATTCCCCAGTCCATTTGGTCGTCTACCCCAACTTCCACCAATGCCTTTTCCCACATCATTCCATCACACTTCTCCGATAAAGAACAGCAATAATGACATTCTCAGGATGTCCCAATTAGCAGGTGTTCCTCGTTCTCCAGGACGACTTTCAGACATGAGTACTTTGTCTGATCGACTCTGGACTGATATGCGTGATCCAGAACGCATTCTAGTTGCTGCTGCCGCAGTTGCAAACTTCGACCGACGACCTGGTGCTCTTGCGAATCTCCTTTCGTTAGCTGCAAGCCACCAAAGGCATCCCAACATCCACTCTCCACCTCGTACGTTTACTCAGGTGTCTTTTCGTTGCTCCAGATCCTCATTACCTTCCTCTCAGGGCAGAAATTTATAACAGTAATTTTGAAGAGGCTAATGTATGCTAAGCAGCGTAAAATCCACTAGCAACAGTAATTTGTCATTGCTTGTCCTGTTTTTTTCATCAGAACTAATTGTAATGGATGAGAATAGGCGTTTGGTGTTCATGGGGTGGTGGGAGTACTCAAAATTAAACTTACTGTAAGGGAACGAAGCATAGCCGCAACCTGCAACAGCGTTCCGAATGATTGAACCCTACTTTACACATAAAAGCGTGGCCTTTGAAGTGGCGTAATTGTCTTTTGAGGAATATTACACTTCTGAGGGGGAAACTAGGAGCGTGGGAAGAAAGTGAGATGCGGGAACTGTCATGTGTGAAGAATAGAATAATTCAACAAACTTTCTGCTTTCACGCATGAAGGCACTTAGTGTATTGTGTTCATTCAGACATTTCCCTCTCGTCACGCCACACTCCAAACACTAAATAACAATTAGAACAAAAAACAAAAGACCTCGAGCGAAACAATGCACGTCCGCAAACTTCTCTGGTATACGCTGTTCCCGTAATAAGTGATTAGTCATGTTTCCAATAGAGTAAAGATTTCTTTCTTCCTTCATTCTCTCTCTCACTCTTTTAGGACTAGATGCCTTCAATTTGTTGGATAAGACACCACCACCTCCACCTCCCTTGGCTTCAACTATCCAACAACGGCACACAGTTCACCATACCCCCATGCCGAATAATCCAGCCCAGCCGTCATTTTTGAAACCCTCTTATCCCTCCCAACACTCCTCTCCAATCTCTGAAATCCTGGTCTCTCCACCTACAACCGTTATGGATTGCCGCGGCAACCCCAATAAAGCAAGTGTCAACCTTAATGTAGACATGCTCATTTTGTGGTGATGTGGGTGAAATTAGAGGAGGCGATCTGGGGCGTACGTATGAGCACACTGGGTGTATGAGAAGAAGGTATATACGTGCTTCCTCTTATCTCCAGGAATCTTATTTCACAGGGAGGTAGAGAAGGAGAACTATTGGGGGCAAAAAGAGCTTCTGGCGCCGGGCTTACGAATGCTCAAGATTCTCTCCTCCACTAGGTAGATAGGTAGGTGGTAGGTGGGAGTGTTTTATTAGGGGCAGTAGGGAATAAACTCTCACTCATCTTGTCGTGTCGCGCTTGGCTAAAGGCGCCTGTGTATACTGCACAGGGTCTAATTGGTCTAATTAAATCTCAAAATGCAGTAGAAGCAGAATTACTTAGGAGTGAGTAGCTTCTTCAACCCCCTACCAACCACCTCACTTTCTCTCTCTCATCTCCCCATGCATTAGCGAAAAGAGCAAATGGGTGACGCCCAAAGGTTGCCGTTATTACTGCTATAAGTCGTGGGCATAAGAATTCCACTGCATACCTGTTGCGCACGCGCGATCGTATTAGCCTGATAAGGGAAAGATTTGGTTGGCGGATGAATGTTACCCCCATCAAAATATTTCTTTGGAACTTCTATCACGCCTCGTATCTCCTTCTAGCCTCTCTTTTTTTGATAAGATTTCCCCCTCAGTCTCCTTGTGTTGTACCCCCCCCCCCATTTGGGTTAATGGGCTGGGTTGATAAATTTGCCTCTTAATGGGCTGGTGCAGGTAGCCTCAAAATTTCAATTGTTCTCCTTAAAATGTAATTTTGGTCTCAGTAAATTTACCGATAGCAAACGAACCCGGTGCAGTTCGATTTCAATAATCGTGGGGATGATTGGGAAATGGTAGAAGCCGTCTCTCTTCAAAATTGGTCTTATTACCTGCCAACCTGTGTTTGAGTCAACAAAAAAGAGGGGATACACACTGATCTCCAGTCTGAGGGACAAAAAGGGAGTGCTTGGCTTGTTTTGGTCAATATCTATGCAATATTAATTACTAGGGCCGCATCACAGATCAGTCACCTCATATTAATTAAGTAATCAAAATAATGCCTGGCAGAGTACTACTACTCGACAGAATATGTCCCCACTCCCAGCATATGCGTGAGGACGACGAGGGGAAGGCGGGGGAGGGGGGGGGGAAGACACGCGTAAGAGCCGTTGGGTGGCGTCTTGAGCTAATTAGTTGGTATCGCACCATCTAGCCCATATGAGCAGTCGGACAGAAGGCGTGTGTGTTATCGACGCCAAATGTAATTAAGAGGTGTACGTTCTGCTGCCTCTGCTTAGCTGACAATATTTCGTGCATTATGCATTTGCCCACCGCCCTTATCCCCAACTACTTAATACCACTTCACCCTTCCCCCCCCCCCCCCCCCCCCCTCAAATCTATTCCTCCCCCCCCCCACACCCCCACAATAGATGTTCA